TATATTTTACTTCTTTGAAAACAGAAAATTAAAAGGTCTGGTTTAAAAAAAAAAAAAAAAAGCGAGCTCCTCCCTATGCGATCGGCGCCCCAGCCGCCGCGGGACCCTGGCGTCTCCGGGGCTCAGCCCAGCCAATACCCCACCCCGCGGGTCTCCAGCGCCGCGCTCCGGCTCGAGGGCGGGGACCGGCAGCTCCAAGCCAGAGGGACGGGCTCTAGGGCCACCCCTCCCGCCTCGCGTGGCGACTCCGCCGCTGGGCACCGGGGAGCGGGACCCAGGACTCCAGCCGCCGGCCGCGGGTGCTCAGCAACTCCCGGAGCCGCAGGGCCGGGCTGAGCTCCGCGCCTGCGAGGCCGAGGGGTGGCCCCTGGCGCCCCCAATGCTCCTCCCGGGCGGGGGCTGCCGCGGGCCCAGCGAGCGACCCCGGGGAAGGAGGCAGGTGTCGGCGGCAGGCTCCTTCCACACCTGGAACAGGAGTTCCCAAAGCTCGCTGGCCCCGCGCTCTCGAGGCGTGGACGCAGCATCCTTGCAGCTGAAAAGAATCATCAAGTATAAGATTTCCTGCAAGACGCTTCACAATAGAATATACTTATCTGGTCGGAAATTTGCCAGAAGCCATAAATAATTGAGACAGCTGTGACTAACCTCCCAGAAAGCATACCAGAATTCGCAATTAAACATTTAATTGAACGGTCTCATTGCCCCCTCGTCCCGGAGAGGAGGAGGAGTGAGAAGCAAACCCAGGCCCCACCCAGCCGGGAGCCTGCGCGGCTCCAGCCCGGGAGCGCCCCGGTGCCTCCCGGCGCACGCGGTTCCTGGGAGTCTCGAGTTCGCTGCTTTCGGGCGCCCTGGCCCGGCCCGGACAATGTAAGCTCCAGCTCCCTGGGCTTTTCCGGCTTCTAAACCCTCCGGGGCTCGAAGGAGCGCAACGCCCAGGTGAGCGCAGCCGCGTCTCGTTGCAGCTTGCGAGGACGCAGTGCCGCCACAGGTTGCTTTCTCCCGGGGCGAGGGCCGCCCCGCGGTTCTTCCGAGGCTGAGGGGCCGCAGCGGAGACCGCTGGGCGGAGGCGAAAGGCCTCTGCTGGGCCCAGCCTGTGAAGTTGACGGTGCGACTGGGCGTGCTCGGTGTGAAAGCGACAACTTCGCCCCGGCTTTACAGCCCAGAATTTGAGTCAGGTAGGAGAGGCTGCCGAGGCCCGGGGGCAGCGACGTTCGAACGCTCAGCGGCGTTGCCCAAGCCAATTCCCCGCAGCGGCAGCGGCTCCCTTCCCCCGGAGCTCTGCGGAACACGCAGCCCCAGAGGCGCAACTAGACGTCAGAGCCGCAGCTTTGGGCCCGGCCACTCTCCCGCCCTCCAGACTCCAGCAGTCGCGCGGCTGGCACCTCGAACCCTGAACCTGGCCCCGGGAAGCCTCGGTCCAACCGCGGCCTTCCTGGGTTATTTCTTCCAGGGCTCTTTGCCACGCTCTGGGAAGTCTTGAGTCTCGATAATCTGGGAAGAAATTACTCCTCACAATCCCCTATTCTTCCACTTCCTCGTCCCTGCTCCCTCCCCCCACGCCCGAACCCGGGGGTCTCCAGTTGGCTACTCTCAAACCACGCCTTAAACACGCTCTTTCCCAACGGGGAACCGGCCTTCCTGAGCTCCTGCCGGCCCCTGGGCTCACGCCTTGACCCACTGCCCGCTGGCTCTGACCTTCTGGACCAGGAGGCACCGAGGCAGATGGCTGGATTCACCTCGCACTCCCGCCTCTCTGGCAGGATTGTTGCTGGGGCCCCGAATGTGCTTTATACATTGAGCCGCTCCCCACCCAACTCCACATCTGGATCCCAATGGAGTATTTCCTGGTTGTGCCCTTGCTCTCATTACTACTCTCAACCTAGCTCTATTAATCTGCATCTTTCATGCACAGTCTCCATCAACAAGGTGCCAGTCTGTACTTGGCCACTCAATCCTCATAACTGCACTGAATCCCAGTATTTTCAAGAAAGTTTACTTTTACATCCATCAGACCCCGATTTAAAAGCCTCTAATCTTTCCCGCATCAGCTTAATAAACTCTGAATTTCCTGCTTTTATCACCACTCCACTGGGAGCTTCTCTGCAGATATTCATCCATTGTTTCTCTCTCTAGCATGCTGCTATTTGGGTAATTCTCTTGCTCTCTTTGGTGAACACCCATGAGAAAGCACAGTTAACTAAATGTGTGGCCATCTATGTCCTCCCCTAGGCAGAAGAGGTAGAACCTCAAATTTTCTAGAGAACGATCTTAGACAATATCCATTTAAACGCTGTATTTGCAGCTGACAAAATTGAGCTTTGTTATTCCACATTCAAAACATAAAGCCTGATTTCTGTTCCACAATCCATTAAATATTAAAGTTTGTTGGGAATACTGCCACAGGGACTGAATTTCCCAGAATTATGCAGTCTTTCAATATGTATTAAATTTTGTGTAAAAACTTACAGCCATAAACTTTCCATGTCTGGGAATCCCTTTCCTGCCTCAATTGCATAGAGCTATCCAAATTAATAGTTAAGTCTTCTGAGAAAATCATATTCTAAAGTGAATCTAGCTAAATAACTCCCACTTTCCACCTATGGCCTCTTTTATTGAATTGAGTTTTTACTACACAACTGGGTATCTCATGTTAAAAGTTCAGTAAGCATAAAATACAACACTTGTAATTGTTACAGGTAATTTAATTTACGGGGAAATCCCTACTGTATTACAGAAGATGTTTAAAGATGACCTGGAAACCAGTAAAACTGATATTTATTAACGTAACTAACCAAGCGTAGATGTGACACCTCACTAGGGACCATTGTAATAAGGCTTCAGAGTTGAACCCTTTCCCTGGAAACCCAGAGAGAAAACGATGCACCCCTTTAGGTGGGTAGCAACTATGGGAGAGAAAAGCTTGTAATGTTTTATACAGTGATACAGAGAGATGCAGGAATCTTAACACACAATAGCCACTTTTATCTAAGTAACTTCCCAGTATTCAAAAAAGACACAATCATATAAATACCAAAAAAAGAGAAATTCGATTTTTGATTCATGGATGATGAGGAAAGAGATAACTAATGTTAGACGGTTCCATTCATAGCGTTAAAACACTGCAATCTATCAAAAGCAAAAATTCAGAGCTAACCATTAATGAAATTCCTTATTCAATAACCTGTTATTTCCTTTTTAATAAAAAATAAGAAAACCCAAATATTCTGGATAAATCAGAAGTTTTTGAAAGTGAGATTTAGTGGAAGTTTTAGCCCCCTGTCTAATGGCCAGCCAGAAGGTAAAAGAAATCTGTATTTGTTTGGGAAGGAATGGTCTAAGTTAAAGGAAGGAAGCCTCAAAGAACCCAGACCTGATTATTAAAGCCATTTCTGGGCACTTGAGAGGTAAAGCTGGTCCTCATTAACTCTGCGTATCTCTTGCCTTATCTCTAAGTTTGCAGCACCATTTCCTATATCCCAAAGAAGGGGAATGTCCCCTTTAATATTTGTGCTAGCGTCACCTTGACATTCAGGAAGTAAAATATAAATGCAGCTCCATTTTCCCACCTCCTCCCATTTTCTTTCAGTAATTGCCAGCAAGCCTTCTATCATCTGGAAGTGGGGTGGTGGGAGTGTGAAGGAATTCTGCCAAAAGTGCTGCTGAAAAACCCACAGTGGCCTCTGGCCATCCAAGTAGCCATGGTTAACAGAAGGCACCTACTTCTCTAAAGACTACCTGGCCCCCCAGACACGTTTTCCTTGCCAGCCTCTACCTAAGCTAAAATGGCAACCATCCCCTACCCAGTGAGGGCGTTGCCCACTTTAAAAACAACCTTGGACAAAGGATACGCTTGTGGGTCCCTTAACTCGGGGACCAGGAAACGGCAACTCAACGCCAGAGGTTCTTACAACAGCGGTGAAGGCTGGTGTTGGAAAAGAACTGTCCCAGGCTGCCAAAGGGTTAAATATCTGTGAAGAGTAAAACCTGAGCCTCCATGAGTTTTTTTTTTTCTTCTTCTTCTTTCTTTCTTTTTGGGTTTTTTGCTTTTGTATGTGCGCGCTTGCCCCGGGGGCCTACTGGAGATTCAGTATCTCTCGGTTATTTCCTGCGATCACTAAAGCCGGTTTTCAAGAAAACAAGTAGCAGGGGTTTGAAATGTCACACCAAGTGACCTGGGCACGGCATATCCAGGGGCCATTCCCAGCCCCCCACCCACCCGGGCCACCCCAGACCCCCTCCACTTCGGTCTGGAAAGAAAATAAACCAAGGACACGCCAGACTGGTTCTGGGTGGACTTATTTTCCTGGCAGCCGCCCTCCTAGCGGGGGCTCGTTGCGGCCCCTCGGTGTATCGCTTGCAGGTGATGCCAAACGCAGATAAGCAGCCGCCGCCCGGCCCCGCCTCTGTCTAGACTGGGGAATTAATAAATGCCGCGGATTGATCACGTCGCGCATCCACTCCGGGAACAGCGCGCAGCAAGGCCCGTCACGGCCGCCCGGTCTGGCCGAGGTCGGCCTTGCTGCTGGGCCGCAGGGCCAGAGGCAGCGCGCGGGGCTTCGAGCCTCACCCAGAGCCGCGGACCGCCGGGGAAGGAAGCGCCGGGAGGGCCGGCAGCGCCGAACGAGAGTGGGGCTAGGAGCTTGGCGGGCGCCATGCCAAGGCCGGTTCCAGGAGCGGGGCACGCCCTTGCCGGCATGACCCTAGGCCGGAGTCCGCCGCTCAGCTGCCACGAGCGCTGCAGGTTTCCCGCCTAAATGAGTCCCGCCTCCTGCCCGCGGGTCTCCGCCGCCAGTTGCCCAGGGGTCGCCAGTGGGGCATGCCTGCTTCTGCGAGGGCCTCAGCGCGCATGCGCCCAGCCCACCCCTCGGCCGCGCCCAATCCCCACCCGGCCCGCCCCGCCCGCAGCACGCGGAGCTCCGGCAGCCGACGCCAGCCAGACCTGTGGACTTGCCTCCTCCCGCACTCCTGCCGCGCCAACAGCACACGGGAGCGGCGTCACACCGGGTTATTATTTTTTATTAAGATCAAAATACGAGTCCCATTATGAACTGGCTATTCTCACAATAAATAACAATAACTTACGTTTGTTTGTTCGGCAAAGGCTCACACACTCTGTCCTCCGTGGAATAACTTAAAACACTTTCAAGGCCAGTCTGGTTTCTACTGTTTCCCAGCAATCATGCGCTTTGGGAGTTTGAGTGTCTGTTCCTCTGAGTTATCCCCTTCCTCTTCCCCGCTAGAGCCCAGGCGAAGACGCCAGGGAGCGCGGAGCGGGGGCAGGGCGGGGGTCCACGTGGGCGAGCTCGGGGCCGGCCGAGGTGGGGATACAGGTGGGGCGTGGAGGGACAGAGCGGCGGCCACGCGGAGAGGAGAGGGCAGAGCTAACTCTGGTAAATCCCAAATTCTGGTTTTTAAAAAGTAAAGAGTCCTCGGAGCAGGAGTCTGCCGTCTGGTGAAAGCAGGTTGCATCCTGGCACCTTGGGCTGTCCAGACCGTTTCTCTCGGTCCTCTCTCATAAATAACAATAGAATAATCACGAAGGCGAGAGAGCTTTCGGAACTGGAATGGCCTGAGCATGGGTGTCTCATGCAGGGAGCATGCGAGGTCCGCGGGCTGGCAGGGAGGGGTCCCCCTCACGTCTCCACGGGACTCGGCACCATACTGTTGGGGGTGTCCGGGAGCTGCGAGGACAGGGAGGTCACGTCGCTGCCGGAGGAGTTGCCTAGGGAGCCGGACTCGGAGAAGGAGACCTGGGGCAGCGGAAACACCGGGAACAGGCAGGTGAAGAGGCACCCGAGCTGGTGCTCCAGGGCCGCGTGCTCCGAGTCGGGGAATGTCCCTTGGGGACCGGTCGCCGGCTGAGAGCAAGCCCAGCGGAGGAGGAGGCCAGGTCCCCAGGCGCACGCAGGGCGGGATTAGGGCGGGGGGAGCGGGTTGGTTAATTCTGCGACCTCTCTTGTGCGCACTTTAATCCAGGGAGACCTGGTTTAGGGTGCGTAATGGGCCGAGGTGAGGTTTCAGAGCCCGCCACTGTTCCCCCTCCCCCACCGCCTAGGGCTGTCCCCAGCCCCTCAGCCCAAGGCTACCCCCTCCCCTCTCTGCCAGGCTAAGTGGCTAAATCCCCAACCCGCAGAGTACCGAGGTCGGGCGGGTAGGGCAGGGCCTCACCAGCTGCTGGAAGGCGGGTTGGTCCAGGTCGCTCTGGAGGGCAAATTCGCTGAGCGCCTTCCACGGCGGCTGGTACGTCTGCACCTCCACTGCGCTGCCCTGCACAGCGTTCTCATGGCGGATGGGGCTGCCCGCCACCAGGGGCGTCCCGGTCAGTCCCTGAAGGCTCTGTGGGGCAAGCAGAAGGCCTTGGGTGCTCGAGTTAGGTCTGGCCTTTTGTGCCACCTTTGAGACTGGAGCTCCAGGCCCTGAGTGATTTAGGGTCTGCATTACTTTGTGGGGAGGTGCACACTCCACCGCATCGGAAGAGCCCTTTCTCCACTGGGGACCTGCGGGGGCTGCAAACTTGCCACGATAGGTCAGCCTCGGTGCTGGGAGCCAACCAGCCGGTGAGGAAAGGCAAGGCCTGCACTCCCACCCTTCTGCAGCTGCGGACAGAGGGACACAACCCACCAGCCCGACTGGCGGGCGCTGCGCACAGCCATGCCGCTCCGGGCTCCGCCAGCGCCCGGGACCCGCAACGCGGGGCTGCACCTGGGGCAAGGAGAAACCCCGATCCCAGACAAAATAGGAAGCCCCAAATCCAAGGGAAGCCTAGCTCTGAAGGCACAGACATACACCATCTGGAGCGCCCAGTTCTGCCTGGATCTCCCAGGGCTCGCCCAGAAAAGGGCACACAGATACCGCGGCGGAAGCGCAGGCCCCACCCAACTCGAGCCTTCGGCCCCGCGGCCGCTCACCGTCTTGTCGCTGTGCTGCTGCTGCTGCAGCTGCTTCATGAGAATGGATTTCTTCTTGTCCTTGCAGCGCTTGTTCTGGAACCAGACGCGGATGACCCGCGGGCTCAGGCCGGTCATCTCCACCAGCTGCTCCTTCATGAGAGCGTCGGGCCGCGGGTTGGCGGCGTAGCAGGTCCGCAGAGTGTGCAGCTGCTTCTCGTTCAGCACAGTCCGCACGCGGGTCGTCTTCTCCGTCTGCTTGTGCACGTGCGGGCGCAACGCGGGCTGCCGGCCCGACCCAGCATCTGCCAGGACAGGGTGGGGCCAGAGGTTAGCGAGGGGCCGCCACCCACCCGCCCGGAGCCCAACCTCAGGGCGGCCGAGCCCCCCGGGGCCCGATTTCGTTTCTGTTTTATTTTGTTTATTTCGTTTAATTGTTCGTCTTCCTCTCCATCTGTTCGCCTTACGCGGAGAGAGCTGTGCATTTTCGTTCTTTCTCTCGCTCCCAGGCCGGACTGCCCCGCAGCGATCTCTCCCGAGCTCAAGCAGGGCGAGGGAGCTCGGCGACAGGCCGCTGCGGGGAGTGAGTGGCCGCTCAGGGATGTGCCTCTTCCAGTCACAGGACCCTCGGAACGAGCGAAGCCCTCCGGAAGAAGTCCGGAAGAAGTCGGAGTTTCAGAGGAAGAGGAAAGAGGCTCGCCCAGGACTCTGGAGGGGGAAAGGGAACGACGTGGACCGGGGGCGAGGTGCTGCTCAGGGGACTGGGTGGGAGGTGCGCATATCCTGGGGGCCTACGAGGGCCCTTCCCTCCTTCAGAGCCCATTTGGACAGGGCACATGTGTAGAAGGGTACATGTGTAGAAGACTCATCCAGGGTTATGGACGGGCCTCCAGGGCCTGCAACAGTTCCTTCCTGCCCGCCCTTGGGCTTCCGCCCCGGTCTCCTTCCTCAAGGCTCCAGGTTCCCCAGCCCAGTGGCCTCCCACCCACCACGCTGGTGAGCAGCCGCTGGCACTCTCCTCGCTTGGCCCCAGGTTCTCTCCATCCCGGGGAAACAGTGACTGATTCCAGAGCCTGCAGCCTGAAGCCCGAAACAAACAAAGGGGAGCCTCTCCGAGATCCCAGATGGGGGTGCACTGAATACCCGCTTCCTCCCATTTCACATCTCTATTCTACATTCCCGACCTACACACCTTGGATCTATACTGCACCATTTAGGTTTATGTTCCCCTCTACGCATTTCTAGATCTGGACAAATATTTATAAATAGCCCATCCAGCCCAATTTCCTCTTTCTATAGGGAGGAAGTGGAGATCCAGAGAGGGTAGGAGTGGGGCAAGGCCATACAGCACCGAGAGGCCCAGCCTGGTCTGCGGATCTGTGCTGCAGGCCTATGGCTACCTGGGGGAAACTGCCCTGCTTGGGGCGGAGGCACCGCTGTTTCTGTTCAGCCCTACCTGCCCATTATACACTCAGACCCCATCTCTGGGCAGCTACTGATTAGGACCCAGAATATTCCAGTGAGAGTCCAATATGCATTGATAACACTCCCCCTTCCCCAGAAGAACCTGGCTAAATTGTTCATCAAACTGGGCCTCAAAACAAGACGGCAAAAACCCCTCTTTGTTGGGTTCTTGGCTCCTGGCTGACCAAGCCCCTGCCCAGCTCCCAGTTGGGAGCTGCGTTACTTACACAAATACCCCTGAGCAAACCTTCCCCTCTGATAATAACACATATTCCTCCAAGAAATTCCTAATACAAGCCCCAAGACGGACACCACTTAATATTCCCTGTTGTCATCCACTATTCTGCTCCTAGCACTGTGCCCTGCATGTTCCTGGTCATGGAGAACACGATTCTGCACAATTCCCCATGCTCACTCATATGCACGCGCAGTTTCTCCCGGGCACACGAGAACACACACAACCTTGTTCCCAGCACACAGTTCCGCACTAATACAGAAAAACACTATCCCGGCAGACCCAACCACACACAACTGACAACTTCTCGTTAGGGACACAAGCACGCAAGCACACCCCGCTCACCCCGGCGCAAGCCCCGCGCTTACCTGGCAGATGCAGGCCGCGGGAGC